TGTTGAATCAAATTCTGGTGTAAAATGATGTTGCTTAAACATGTTCATGCATAAGTAGGATAACATACATCATTTGAAACATTCAATCAATTCGTAGAGAGAGAGAGAGATGAATTGCCATCGACATCTCCATTCCCTGCCTTTCTTTCTCGCTCTTATTCATTTCGCAAAACAAAAAGCACTTTATTACATGGTGAAAAGAAAGTTTTTCCTCGTTATATTTATTAGCTTGATGTCTTAAGACTTGCAACTCAATCACTTTTAATTCGAGCGAATGACAGACTGTGAAACTTTTCTACGTACGAGATTGAATCTGTATGTTTCTCTCTCTCTCTCTCTCTCTCTCTCTCTCTCTCTCTCTCTCTATCTTTCCCTTGTTGAATTTACAGAAGTTCTGACATAATTTTACAGCCTTTGACATGAAAACTATGTGCTTAACCGGCAAAAAATGCATCCAGCTCTTTTACTCATGTTTCCTCACCACAAACATATTTTTTTATTCTATATGAAATGAAGTTGATTTTAACAATTTTTCACCCGAATATTTTCGTGTACACAAAGTGAGACTCTCAACCTGAATAAAAACTGAGAAGAAAAAAATAACAACCACTAATTAAAGTTGAAGAAAAAGATACGATTTTCCCATCCCAGCACTTATTATATATATTCGTAGAATAAAACTTAACCGCTTTTAATTAGCAGTACCGTACATTTTAATTGCTAATCGAACGAACATTTCTAGGCAATAATTTAATTTAACAGACACACGCACGCATTTTTTCACGTAATTTCGAGTCAAGGCTCCATTAAAAATGATGAAAAGAAAAGTTATTAACAGGAGAAGAAGTGAAAAGAAAACAAATTCCATTTTCAAAAAGTTTCAACAAAAGCCAAAAATTGGCCAGCCTATATTTTTAGGTGTTTTTTTTATTGAGATGTTATGCTAATACCCTTGAATATTCGCGAAATGGAAGGAGAAGATGAAGCAATGAAAAACATGACAAACGATTCTCAATTCCCTTGAATATGTATGACTACATTTTTATAATATTCACAAATGGATTGACTGACGTTCGCTTGATGGCTGCAAACAATGTGATTTTAATGTGAATGAAATCGTGATGTTCGATGATGACATACGGAAAAATGTTGTAAACATTGTTTCGTCAACATAGAAGAAAAAAATGGATGTTCTTTTTTCCCGGTGAATTTTTGATTTAGCGTTTTCCATCGTAAATTAAGCGGAAACGATTGTGTCGGTGACGATGACGTAGACGGCGGAGGCAGCAACAGCATCAACAGTGAAAAAAAAATGATGTTGATGCTTTTGGCAACATCATAGAAATGTCATATTGATCCATTTTAAAATGTTGGGTTTCAATTAGTGAGTTGTCAATTATATCATTTCCACTTAAAAAAATGTCGTAAACTTTGTTTACTTCGTTCATTTCATGTCATGTGAAACACAAGAGCACATGATTCGATTGGTTCGTCTTTTCGTTGGATTGGTTTTGCGTGTGCGGATTCAAAACTGTCAAGCATAAGATCTTAACTTCCGTTTTCGTTTTGTCAGAGAAAGAGCAAGAAAGCGAGCGCTACAGAGGAAAAAGTGGGAAGGATGTTGCGCATTTGGATTCTCGTAAAAGGTTCGAAGAACGAACCAAAACTCGGCCAAACCCATTCGTCGAATGAACGAACGAATGGAAAAAAAAAACAAACAAACAAACAAACAGCAGCCTGTAAATGAATATTGCATTTGAAATTCTTCCAAAAAAGAAAAAGAAATCTCAAACGTACGAATAAAAGACGAAGAAAAAGAAAAACCAACAAGATTGACAAAAACACACGCGAGATATGAATAGAATCGGCTACAATTTCAACGAAATGCGACTTACTAAAAATAAATGAGTCGATATGAATTTTATGCGCCTGGCAATGAAAAAAACAACATACACATACCCAAAACAACAACAACCAAATGAAACATAATAAACAAACAAAACTCGGCATACTTGTACACATACAACGAACAGAGTCGAGTCAAAAGAAAAGCATACGAAATATAATGCGCGTCGCATTGCCACAATCGTCGTACAAATGCGAAAAAGTCATCGTTGTTATAAATAGAAATGTAAGTCTGTATGTGCATCTCAAAGTGATCAATTTGAGGCGACAAGAAGAAAACGACGTCGACGGGCGACGCGGCCAAAAGACGGAAATGTATATATATAAACATGCCGCTGATGCAGTTGTTGTTGTTGCTACTGAACAATAAAGAAAAAACTGAATCTAAATTGACAAAAAAAAGCCGAATGTGAGTGTGATTGAGTAGCATTTGCATTCATTGAAGAATAATTGTCATTTACTTGCTTACACCGTTGTTGTTGTTGTTGTTGTTTTTATTGCCATTTCGTTCAAGTTCATATAAATAGCGGAGAGAATGAGAGTGCGAAAGCATTTGTACATTCATTCATTCATTCATTCCCATGCGCACCATAATGTGAGCAATGATATTAATGAGAACATATGAGCAGCAACGAGGCATATTCGTTTTTATTTCACTGTATACATGCATATGTTGACACGGATATATGAAGCACAAGCATCGAGCATGGAGAAGAAAAAAATAAGTCGTTGTTGATTTGCTTCTAGGGCGGCACTTACATACGTTGGATGTGATTATATTTTCTTTTCTCGTTTCGGTTCACTGCTATTTTTGAGAATGCTGTTCTTTTTTTCTAACGATCTCATGATCCTACACATTTGGCAAAACTATTTTCGCCGCGTTACTTTTTCGCAACGCTCAAATATGTGCCATTAATCATTCGTATTCGTTACGATGACATCGAATGACAATTTGTTTTCTCTCTCTCTTTTTCTCGTTCTTCCTTTACTTACCCGTAAATTCCGTGGCGGCCACACATTTTAACGTCATGTACGCTCACTCATATTCTATTAGATCGTTCACGTTTTCTTCGCGTTTCCAATCACTATATAGAGCTACGTCAACAATGAGGAAGAAAAAAAAAACACCGCACATCGAAAGATAAATCGACCATTTTACACTATACACTTTACGTTTCAATGCACATGTCCCGTCATATATGTACCGCTGTTTTTCTCAATCTCTCTCTCTCTCTCTCTCTCTCTCTCTCTCAAATAAAATTGATGTCTCTTGCCAATTTCGGGTCCATAATCGATAACAAATACACAATGTTCAAAATATCCAGGCACCAGACAATGACAAAATGAGCAAATAATAAACAAAACGGCAACGGTTTTACAACAATAATAGGACCGGATCTTTCGTTTTGCTACACAAATACACAACGAGAAAAAAAAATTGCCTCAGAATTTATCTTTACTTCCGATTTATGGATTAAATTTTCCGGATCGGAGGTAAGATGCGGCTCAACTGATGAACGACTCAGATAGATTGGCATTATATTAAGCCAATGCGATTCAATTTTGAACAAGTATCCAAAGCGTATTGAGTAGTAAAGCTTGTCCAATTGCATGGCGTCTCCATTGCGTTTCATTTTCTTAACGATGTAAGCGTCTCCATTGAATTGAACGTTTTTCCTCCATCATCAATTTTCACCCAAAGTCGAACCGAGAAGAAAAATCGTTATCAACAAACCTTTTCCCATTCGCAACACAGACACTTGGTGTGTCCTTTTCCACATCTCTATTGAAATCATGTGGAATTTCGGTCTTTGACCATGGATTGCAGCTTGCATTTTAGGGTGACAAAAGCGACAATTCTCTTTGAAGGTCATTGGTTTTGTTTGGTTGGCAAAGGCAAACATAACACTTACCCATTGGCATGGAACACGTTCTCTTATCGGAAAAACCGAAAAGAGCTGAAATGTCTTTATCATCCATTGGTTTTTTTTTTTATTTGATTCTGCATTTGTGTGGTGACTTTGATGGTTTTCTTTTTCTCTCTCACTCTCAATCCATCGCCGAATTTCCGAAACCGTTTGAAATGGGCAATGCTTCTATTTGTATGTTGTGCAAGTATATGAAATGAAATGAAATGCGAAGGAATATACGGTGAGATAGCCACCAAAATGGCAATTTAGATATGACGATTTCCTTCACACTGTGTGTTTAACGGTAATGTGCGGCATTGTGCGATTTTTGTGGCCATAAACAAAGTGAATGTGGTGGCTGAAAACACTTAAAATGTGTGTTCCAGAAAAAAAATATAAGATGAGCATAGCATAGCGTTGAGAGAGAGAGAGAGAGAGAGAAAGAGAGAGAGACAGAGACAGAGACAGAGACAGAGACAGAGACAGAGACAAGAAATCGATGTTTATGATGGTGTTTACGATAAGAAGACCCATGAAATATGGTCGCCTCAACAAGAGCGCGCGTATATACACACACTCACAGACAGGATATTTACTCTTAGTGGATGGGGACATGCTGAACAGCAACATCACTTTTATGACTGGTGGTATAACTGGGCTGCATGTACTTTTCTACAATAGTCGGCAAACGCACTCGAAAGGCGGTTTGTCCGCAAACAAAAGCACAAAGAATGAGCAGAACGAAAGCAGAAAACAAAGCTATTAGTCGTCATTTGTTCAGGCCCACTTGTGTGTTGATAGTAGCGGTAATAAACGCGACAATAAAGGCTTCAATGATGTGGAAATGCGCCCGATTTAACTCGCTGTATATGTGTGTGTGTGTCTTCTGACACTGAGAAAGCAATCGAGAAAGAGAGAGAGAGAGAGAGTATCTCTCAATCGCATGAGCATCTGTCAAGCATTCAATACAATGTTCAATTCTGCTATCGGCAAATTTGAACATCAATGCACCAGTTAACCATTTAGTTCGATCGATTTCCGGACAAATCAAATCAAATCAACACAGTCCAGCACGGCACAAATCGTAAGCCACAGAGAACAAAAAGATGCTCGGTCGCATAAATGGGGGAAGATGTTTGGAGGAGAGAGGAGAAATCATTCAAATGAATATATACACAATTGTTGTTGGTTTTTTTTCTCTGTTGTTCAAAACAATAACAAAAATTAATTTTTATTTTTCGCTTGTCGATTTACTTAATCGCATTTGATTTCATATGTTTCTTTTTCTCATTAAATTGTTTTTTTTTCTTCCTTCATCGTTTTACATTTAAATTAATATCAAATCGCGTTAATATACAATACGTATTAATTTATACGGATTTCAATTGTTTCCCTTTTTCTTTTTTGTTATTCATTTGTTTAAATGTAGAATATTTACAAATTAATATTTGGCTTAAAAAGTTAGCGTTGATGTGCGATGTTAGACAAGGAAGAAAATCTAATATGTTGTTTCTAAAGAAAATTTAAAATATAAAAAAAAAATACAAAAAGCCGAAGAAGAAGAGACCAGAAAAAGAAAATGGTTTTGTTCTTTTTTTCAATCTGCATCACAACTACACGGGTATAATTTCATGGGAGAGATAGCAAATGAAGAGAAAATGCGCGTTCAAGAATTTATTTTGTGTGTTCGTGTGAAATATTCTTTTCGTGTCGATATTTCAATGTGTGCAATAGTGTATCGATTTCCGTATTTGTTTTTGCATATTTAGTTTTTCTTCTATATAAAAAAAAGAAGATTTTATGACGTATCGCCACTCAATTGTTCATAAATAGCTAAATAATTGTTGGAGCATTACAGCTCACAATATCGCATTTCCTGTAGAGAATTCTATTCCATTTTCTTTTTCGTATTCACGTATTACGCACATTTAGTCGAATATATGTATGTATTCATATTACGATTTCAATTAAATTGTATGTGTTTTTTTATTTCGTCATTCTCTTCATATTTTCTTCTTCTTCTTCTGCTTCATCCATTAATGTTTTAAATTGCTAATAAAGTTTTTGTTTTGTTCGATTCAATTTCAATTTGCTCATTCTCTGCTGTTGCAATGCATGACCATCAATTTTCAAGCGTTCCTTTCAATTCATTTACACTCTCTCATACACAGTACAGTACATACACACATATATTTAACATCAATTCATAATGCATTCGCCGAAAAAGCCTGACAATATTACAACAAGTCTAATGATAATTTTCTTTGTATTGCGGTGTGTCTGTCGTCACCATAGGGGGGAGCAGGAGGCGGCATGTGATGTCAAACGTATATATATATATATACACCGATCGACTGAGGCAAAGAGTGAGAGGTTGAGGAGAGATAGAGCGGGAGACAAAGCACGATAAATGAAATCAAAAGTGAATGGATAAATGGGTAGTAAAAGTAAATCAGATTTATCTATTTAGTAAAATGTGTTAAGTAGATCGTCACCCCCTGCCATTCATTAAGTACGTGGTGTATGTGTGATAGAGAGTAGTTCAAGTGGTTTGAGGTCGGCAGCGTTTTGTTGCATGCCGTCGTCGTCGTCGTCGTGCACGCTTTTGCGATGGGATGAGACACGAAAATTTGTTCGTCATGCGTGTTCAGCTAACTTAAATTCAATAAGTTTTAGATGTCATTTCATTTGAAAAGTCGGTTTTTCGAGTTGTTGCCACCGCACTTGAATGCTTCACAATGTTCTTCCCTCTTTCTCTCTCCCACTCTCCCACTCTTTCTCTTGCTCCCGCTGTATATATCTCGCTCCTTTTCACTCACACTCCAATTGATTGTTGCCTGTTGGTCTGTTTCTGTGTATTTGGTTTCCGAAATTTTTTGGTGTAGATCCATTTTAATGGAATATCGCAGTGAATAAATAAATGCCCGTAATATACGATAACAGTGTCAATGGGATGAATGTGGTGATACATTGATTGCCAGCCGATGGAGATGTTGACGATGAATCTGCGAATGAGAAAATGGAAAATTACGTTTTAAGACCAAGGATCAAATAGTAGTCCAGGTCTCTTCACCATCCCTTCCCGCCTCGAATGCAATACAAGAGAGAATCAGAGAGAAACACTGAAGAAGACTGAGTACGAAAATCCACCCGGAACAGAACAAAATATGTTGAAAGTGTGTGTGTGTGTGTGTGTGTGCGTTAAATGTGTTTTGCTTATAGTATTTACCTGAAGCAGAATTATTTGTTGATCGTTGATAGTCCGTTCCATTGATGTTCAAAAGGCAAACGAAGCTCGTTTGGTTGGTGTGCACGGTGGCAAACATCGTTGTCGAATAGAGACCGGAGCCTGCATCGTAACGTGATTTTGACGTGAACTTACCGGTCTCGGGCCTGCAATCAATCCATAATGAACCAATAACGTTAAAATGAAGATAGATTGAAGAGATGAAATGCGAAACTGAAAATGCTTTAGCAATAACAACTCGAACAACTACTGGATGTATACATATGTATTAACTATCAAGCTATGCTATTTATATAGATTGATATATACGTACAAAATGGTTAGTTTTGGCTCTGGGTAAATGTTTTTTGCGATGCATGTGATCGACAGAGCATCTCCACCGCGCTCATTATCATACTCTTCTACAACGCTCAATTTCAAATCCGATTCGGGCACAACCATTTGCAAATATTTCGAGCGTTTGTCATCGTTCAAAAAGCTACCAACCTCGCATGTATATTCACCGGTCATATTCTTCATCGGTTTAATTATAGCAAGTGCACGATGCCTTTGCATTGCATTGTCCGACACCGTATAATTAGTATCGATGAATGGTTTTATGTTCGTCTGTTGCAGAATAAATAAAGAATGAATATAGAAACTGAATATAAAATCAAAGCCCAATCAATGTGCATTTAATAAAAAAAAATCTATCACTGTACAAAATCTATTTAATTTGTCGGGAAAAAAAACATGTATGTGAATTGGGGAAAAAATGGCAAACAGGATGAAAAAGCGCGCATATTCCAAAATGAGATCAAATATCCTCACAAGCATACGGAACGTGCACGTTTGTGTGTGTGTGTGTGACGGTCGAACGCAATGCAACTTATTTAAATACATATACTTGAGCGCTCGAGACATTGTCGTACACGGACCCACACAGACGGCGAAATATACGGGCGCAATCGAATAAAAAAAAGGAATGAAGCGAAAGAGAGAAAAAAACACAACGTTCGAATTAAATCGTGATACGGATGCAATTGGAATACTTACGCGTGCATGAGCTGGTGGACTGTCTGGTATCCATTGATAAATCAACGTCCCATTTAAATGCCATTTTAATACGATACCCTTTTCATTCGGCTCACTTTCATATGCACAATCTAAAATCAATGGATCAGGATTCTCTTCATCTCCGATTACATATGAGCTCGGCACGCTGAAATCCGTTATTTTAACGGCAACACCAACTGGTAACGGCAGGCACGAAACAAGCAAGACATGAGCGCGTGCACGCGAAAGACCGGCACAAGAGTAGACAAGACGCACAGGAACCGAAATGCAATGGGAGAAAAAAAGGTGAAAAGAAAAAAAGAAACAAATAATGAGAATGAGCAAAGAAAAGAAAACTGGTGGAAGAAGATTGAACATAAAAAATGAACACACGTATAAAGAGCTGATAAATTTCATTTTCAATTTCGCAAATCGGAATTCTTTCGCACACAATATTTGCAACACAGGACCGAAGGAAGGTAAACAGAAATCAACGACTCAAACAGACTCTTGGGTATTTTATGGTTGTGTTTTTCTTTTCGTTTGTTCGTTCATTCATTCCTTCTTCCTTCGCGTAAGTCCGGTGCATTTTTATGGTATCAATTCGGAATAGATTCAAGAAATCCGATCACACATTGGATGCACGTGTACATGTGTCTTTTCTTTTTCCGATATTTCATGGGAGAGGGGAAATGCCAAGCCGAAAAAGATAGTATATTGAGCATAATATTTTAGTTTTCTTTCAACTGACCATCAACAACAGCAGCAACAACAAAAAATGAACACAATTTGAGAGGGAAACGCCAGAAACAACACCCGAAGAAGAAGAAAAGAGAATCGAGAGCTGTAGAAAGGCGAGCAATGGCCATATTTTGTTGGCTGTTTGTTTTAAAATAATTGGAAACATTCCAAATGTAATAAATCTGGGTGTTGGATGTCAAAGGACATGAGGTATGGATTAGCATGTCAAATGCCGTGTAAATTTGACGGAATAATTGCTGTATGCACCTTACTGACATCTTCATGGCTTTTTGGTAACGAGCTAAGCCGAAGAGGGAGAGAGATAACACGACCCCAACTCAGGCCAACATAGGCCAAACGATTCTCGGCCTCCCGATATGTTTTATTATTTTCGGCACTGGAAGTATAAAATTTTTCAAATGAAATATAATATCCATACAATCGTAAGCTCCCCCAACCGATAATAGCACTGCAACCGACAACAACAGCACACCGTTGTGTATTAGAAATCAAGAGCAAACGAACACCAAGTATAAGAAGTATACGATTTATTAATGAGCTAAAGAAAGCCTCAATAAACGCAATGCACAACCCGATGTGTGATGGCAGAACCAAAGTGAACAACAACAACAACAACAACAACAACAGCAGAAGCAGCAAAAAAACATGCGGTCGTTGACGATGAATTAAGACACAAAAATAAGTTGTAAGATATTTGTATGCATGTTCCGTTGAGCGAATATGATCGCTTCAATTACTTAAACATTTAAGCGTACTAAATTGTTTCCTGCTTAAAAATATGTTTTTGTGATGAGCGAGCGAACGGCGATCTATTGGTTCATCGTCTCTGGCGTTTTTTTATCGCATTCTCTCTTCATACCTTTCTCACCCCCGTTTCGTACTTCACATATTCGCCAGCTTGATTCTGTTTTCATTCACTCTTAACGTGATTGATACTACTTTTGCCACTTTTACACCCGTTTCCCACTTTATTTTCTTCGAATCCAGAGAGTGTGCTCCAGTGTTTCTATGCTTTTGTCTGTTTATTTATGATTTATTGAAAGCATAAGCATAAATAATAAGCGGCACAAACTCAACTTTGGCTACAGTCAAGAATTACGTTAATTTACTTTATGGTGCTTGCCATCAACGGAACTATCGGCAGTCTATCGGCTTGCTCGTGCAATTCTCTCTTTCTCTCTGTCTCTCTCTATGTGTGTGTCGGAGTGCGCCATATATGCATAATAAATGGCAAAATTCTTTGGCAATACTTTCTTGCAACCCTCAATCGGTGTGAGTTTGCAGTAGCAGCACTACAAAATGAATGAATGCACTGCATTGATATGTGTGTATGTGGCCTACCTTGAACACCGTTCGATTTACTGCCACGAACTTTATCGCCAATATTCGTCAGACAATTATTGCACGTGGTGTTTGTGTGTGTGGCACGGTGGTGTGCTTGAGTGCCGGGCAAAGGGATTCGTGGAAAAGGGCACATTTTTCGTATGTGCTGCTGCTGCTGCTGCTACTTAACAAGGCAATTTCTCTATATGTAGCCCATAAAATGTCGGAATAAATGCAAAAATTATCGAGCAAAATTAGTCAAATAAGCCTTCCCGAATCGCGATCTGGTAATAAAATGAATTTTCAGAGCGTCGACTCCGTCGAACGTAGAGAGAAATGAAATGAATAAAACAAAAACAAGAGAGTGAAAAAAATAACAAAGAAAACAAAACTATGCACTGCATACAAATGCGCCTCATTTAGATGACGACGCGCGCGCGTTCGAAAATTTGCTCCCGAATATATCAGAGCAGAGCAGAATGAACAGCGGCTTCACCGTTTCAGACAATAAAACCGAATACACCGTTATAATGAATGAAAAAAGAAGAAGAAGAAGTAAAGCACATACAACACACACACACATACAGCAAAATATTTATATAAAAGAGAGAGAGAGAGAGAGAGAGAGAGAGAGAGAGAGAAGAACGGCAAAGATAACAAAAACCATAAATAATTCTATTTGAGTACGTAATTGAACTTATTTGTTTGTGCTTGCATTCAAACATAAAGTGAAGCTGAAACCAAACGAACTGGGCTTTTTTGAACATATCCATGCGTCGACGCCAAAATCTCTTTTGTTTTTGCTCGTTTGAAGAAAATGAGAGAGCGTATGTGTGTTTGTGTGTGTTTACGGTTGGTTCGGCCTGAAATCGGGTAAACAAAAGCCATACACAGACAGACATAGATAGAGAGATAGAAAATGTGCGTTACTGTCCGATTTGCGTTTCGGAAAATTCATTTCATGCGGCTAAAATAATTGCAAGACGATGAGATAAAACCGAAAATGTTCGAACACACGAATCATTCGGATTTACGCTCGCAAATATAATTTGAAAAGAAAAAAAAAGGTAGACGAAATCTAAAACATAACTGCTTATGCATGATATCGTTAGCGGTTTTTCACATTTGAGATTATGACCCGGAACAACAACAGCCGAAGAAGAAAAAAATGCATATCAATTTATTTCGAAAAAGTCTCTCTGTCCACAATGCAAAACACAAACAAGTGCAAACCGTATCCATAATTAGATGGTGGCCGAAATGGGAAACAAAAAATATAATCATATCGAAATGAAAAAGCAGCCGGTTACTGCTGTTACTGCTGCTTTTGAGTGTAAACAAAGTTGCGAGAGAGAGAGAGAGAGAGAGAGAGAGCGTGAAGAGAGAAAAAAGTGTGTATCGATTAAGCGATCTGCATTCTCTTTCATTGTCGAAATTATCATTGCCTCGCGCGCAACGATTCTATTTGTATTTGTTTTTTGCTACTTGGCTTTTTTCCCTCTTCTAGCTTCGGGTGTGCTCAAGTGTTTATTTGGCCCTTTGCTTTTGATCATCTTCATGTTACGTGTTGTATAATTTTTTCCTTTCTGTTGTTGCTGCTGCTGCTGCTGTTGCTGTTGTTCGTTCGTTTTGCTTCTATTTAAGCCTCTCTTCACATTATTATCAAATTTAAATTTGCACAGTCACATACTGTACACACGAACGCAGTGAGAGCGGAGTTGGCTCATTCGGCCTGGCTCTGACAATGGCCGGTGTTACGGTTCAAAGAAATTCTATTTGCCAACAAGAGCACTTATTTGCTATAGTTTTTATTGTTATTGTTTTGTGCTATATTGCTCGAATTTCACATTTGTTTGGCCCGTCTTTAGTCTTGTCTATGGTATTTTTGCTGCTGCTGCTGCTGTTGTTTCTGTGTAACTTTGCACTAGCTTTTGTGTGTATCTCTATTGTCGAAACAAAGAACGAAATGTGTGTGTGTATGTGTATGTGCTTACGAGAGAAGATTGGAAAAAAAGGCGGCCAATTTTAAGCAAATTTTCGAATGTGTTTGTGTTTTTATTCCATTTTAAGTTGTCTATTTAAACCTTTGGCGTTTGATGATGAATACACAAATGAGAAAGAAGAACAAGAAGAAAAAGCAACAATAACGAGAGGCTACAATCAATTGTTGCCGTTTAGATTACAAAAGGCGATGGTCCGATTTGTGTGTTTGACGATTTTCGTTTGTTGTCCATGACTTTATGCCTCGGTCTGTTTATGGTTTACACAATATTCAGGGTTAATTCTCTCTCTCTCTTTCTCCCCCTCTCCTAACTATAACTCAAACTACAACAAAAAAAATAGCTGCATTCTAATTCTATTCATTTTGATCACTGTCATACTAATCGTTGTGTCAAATTCTTCAACAGTTTTTTTTTGTCTCTCGTCTGCGCACACCAATGTTCAATTCCGTTTTGTTCATTCTCGCTCTCGCGCCACACATACACAACCGCACACCACATGCCGGGAATAATCAAATGCATGCATTTTATTTCATTCGGCAGCAAACGTTTCTTTCTCTTCTTTTTTTCCGTCTATTTCGTACGTTACTTTTTTTTTGCATCGCAATTTTTTGTCGGTTCACCTTTCATTATATGTGTTATGCTCTTTTTTTGGCGTTCTTCGATGCGCTCCGACTTCCTGTTTGGATTTTCCATATTATAATTTACATGTTTATTATGATTATTTGGTGCGCTACTATTACTCTGTGTTACCTGGCGGTGCGTTTCGTACGATAAATGTGTGTGTTCGCTTCTTTTTCTCTTTCGTTTGCTATTCACCCAGTGGTTCGGAATGTTTTTTTATTCCTTTCGTTTCTATCTTTGCTTGCATTTCATTCTTGCCGTTGTGACATGCTTCGCTTGTGCATATGGAAGATAATGGGTGTATGAGCCCTATGCAAATGTAATGTTCCAACTCCAGTTGTTGTCTTTCTATTAAATCTATTTTTGTAATTCTTCTTTTTATTTTATTCTTCCTTCCCCGGTACGGTTCGTTATTCTTTTTTTCTTCTTCTTTTTTATCCTCTTTCATATTCCTTTCGCCCAATTCTACTGTTGCTGCTGCTGTCTTC